ATTTCCATGCTCAACCTCCTCGCAGCGGATTAGATTTCGAACAAAATGTCTTGCAGGAGGGACCGTTTCAAATGTTTCGCATGATTACTTTCAGATTATCCCTCACTGGCAATTAATTGTACGTAGTTTGCTAGCACAAGGAAGAGTGGCAACACGCATCAAGCAATCAGCTGGTTTCACATGTGTTTACTAGAAGCTGTAGAGAATCCTCATCTAGTAACTCAACCAGTGTATATTAATTTCCACCGCTTTCTTCGGCCCTAACTTTACTGCTTCTTTCGGCCGATTCCTCCCTCCCCATTTTCTCTTTGAGGATTGAGATAAACATCGAAAATGAATTTACATTTTTGTAGGTTATTAAAATGTTATTCTAACTGTGAGGCTTTCTGTGGAAGCAAAAGCAAGCAAAATTGTTTTAGGACACTGATTTTCTGAGTAAAAATTACTCGTTATGAACAAAAGTAAACAAACTTTTGAAAGTGACTGATGGACAGAAGTAGACGAAATTTTGAAAGTGACCCTTGAAAGTTTTGACCTCTCCTCAAGTGCGCAGTTTTATTTTCCATGCAGTGTTCACGGAAAAATCGATGAGGAAAAAGAATACAATTTCACACGCATAGCATTGTGAATTTAGTGAAAAACATAACCCATATTTAGCGACTGGATTTGAATATGATCGCAGAAAAGACAGGAGAGATTTCCCCTCTCCACTCTTTTGCTGTTAACCTCATTAGGAACTAGCAGTCCTGTTTCACACAAAATGGTGTTTTATGATTTCTGAATATAATATCTAGTAGTTCATTTTATCAACAAGTCTGTTGCACTGAAATGAAAAATATTCTCAGAGCAAATGGGGAAAAAAGCGGCATTTTTCAGTCCAGTTACCAGTTTCAGTTCCAGTTATTTTCAGTTCCAGCTACCAGTTTTGTTATACGAAAGCAAAATATGGAGGGGCCTTTTTACTAACCGAAAAAGATAGCGATGATACAACGGGGTATAGGATTCGATGCATTTGATAAATGTAAAATAAGTTGTAGCACATTTTCATTAAAATAGTGAAATAAGCGATAAGGAATTGGTCTATGTGTCATGTATATGACACCATATCAGAATGCAGTCTGTGTTTTATCTCTTAGCCGTAAACACACACCGGACTTTGCATGCGAGCAAGAGCGGGAATCATCAGTATAGCCTCTCATGCGCCATCTGCTGAACAGTCATGTGATTAATTTGCAAAACGGATATGCAAAAGAAAGGAAACCCAGGCTGGAACGCACCAGGCGAGCCGGTGCGATCATGCGTTTTTGCATCGAACTTTGAGGTACTCCATCATTATTCCCCTGTCCTTACCTCACCCCCTCCACTCGCTGTTCTCGCCCCTCCCCCTTCCCCCGCACCCGCCCTGGATATCCATC